CCGCCCCGGCTGCGGCGCGCGAGCCGCCCTGCCGGGGCCCCCCCTGGATCCGTTGCCCCCGCTCCAGCTGCCGCCCCCTCCGCATCTCCAGGCCCCCACCGAGCCCACCCCCTCTCCCTATTGCTCCCAGGTCACCGGGGACCCCCAAATGCGGACATTTTAGGGAAATAAACAGGGGGGGACGGGGAAGTGGGGGGGGTCCTGTCCTAGGCTCCTCCCAGACTTAGGCCTGACCATGACTCAGCGTGGTCAGCCCAGGGCCCGCGGCCTGCAGCTGGCTGGGCCGCACACCGGAGGCTCCTAGACCTCTCTGAGCACTGCAAACCAGACCCAGGTGCTGTCCCTGGTGTGTACTGTCCTCGGTGCTCTAAGCATCGTGTCCCAGTCGGCTCAATGACCAACTCCTAACCGGGTTAAGGCACTTTCCTCCCCTTTCCCCCTCCTCCCTCAGGCCTGAGTACCAGGAAGCTCCCACTTTAATTAGGGTAGAGTTGACAGGTGCTGGCGATCAGGAGCTAGCCAGCGCCTCACACCCACTCTCGGAAGGGCCAGCTTGGGCTTCCTGGGCACCAGTGGTCTCTGAGCGTTCGCTGCAGCCCTCCTGGAGACTCAGACACCACCTGCTAGCACGGGACTTTCCAGCAGGTGTGGGGGCTCTGGCCTGGTGGCTCCAGAGGCAGCCCTTCAGCTCGGAACCAAGAAACACTGGCTTATGTGACAACAATGACCCATTTACCAGGTCCTTCAGAAGGCGGTCCGAGCCCTGTGACTGGCAGGATGTAGGCCGAAAAGGAATGTCACCCTGTGGAGCCTCCCAGACAGGGTCTTGTCAGTAGCAGATCGGACATACTGGGTCAAAGTCACATCCTGTCAAGATGGAGTTTGTAGAAGCAGAGAAATCTCCCAAGCTCGGATTTGCCTGGGAGACCACAGCACTGGCTGGCTGGGTCACAGGTGTGACGGATTCTTTCCAGAGGCTTGCCTAGGTGAGGCTTCAAACCCACACCCAGAGCAGCCCAGTAGAAAACAGTCCCCTCTCAAGGCCTCTCCCTGAATTCTGCTATGAACCCAGTAAAATGACCCCCAGGAGGCCGGACCCATGTCATGCCGAGAGGGGTCAGCGGCTGTGGCCTGCACAGGTGTCTGCCAATCATGACTCAGCAGCCCTGTGCCTAAGAGCCTCAAAGCCCAAGCAGGCCAGGCTTCCTGCCTAGGGCCCATCTGAATGGGTGGGGTACCCCAGGAAAACCTTCTGGTTCTGGGGAAATCTGGCTTTCAGGGAAGGATGTCAGAACACATCAAAGGACCTGTGGGCTTACCACAAGGAACTCATTTGCTCTTCTTACCATTTGGGATCCTGGTGCGTTTTCAGGCAGGGTAGAGAGGCTCATGGAAAAAGGGGTTACCAGGAAATCGGGGACCCTGAAAACCTGGCCTAGAGACCCATACACCCCCCTCACCACCATCCCCCTGAAGGGGGGGGGAATGCCCTGAGCTTTTGCTCTTCCAAGTATGCCTGGCTGTCTCCACCCCCTCCCCCGCCAACCGGAGGTAAACAAGGCGGTGTCTGGGGAACCCCCTGGCAGGGCCCTCTCTCTGCCTGCCCTGTGGTCAGGTGGCCTAAACCAGTGAGTCAGAGTCTCATGATCAAGACTTAACAGGGAGATTCCCTGACTGTTGACATCCAATGCAATAACAGCAGGGCTGCGGGGGCCTCAGGACCTTGGTGAGGGTCCCTGGGCCACAGACTTACAAGGCCTCAGGACCTTGGTGAGGGTCCCCTGGCTTACAGACTCTCCTTCTAACATCTGATCATCTCTCTCATTCCCAGGTATGCAGGGAGCCCCCCTTCCCTGTGTCCACTGGCCACTCCGTACCCTCCAGTGAATGGCATGGGCCCTGGAGAAAGGAAGAAAGGGGAAAACTTGACACCTGAGTCAAAAGACAAGCCCTTCCAGCTGTGGGCAGGTGCCCAGCCTCATCTTTCCTCATCTTTGAACTAGGTCAGGAGTGTGGGGGCTTGATTGGCTTCGCCCAGGTGATACCCCCCAGATGTGTTGTTGTGGTTTTCCAGTGTGGGGGGGGGTGGGGGGAGGTGGTAGGGTTGAACTCAAGGCCTGGCTCTCCTGGTACTCTACCACTCACACCAAGCCTTCAGCCTCTCTTTTTGCTGATTATTTTGGAGATGGTGTCCCATAGACTTTTCTGCCCTGTCAGGCTTAAACTTCTATTCTCCGAGTGTCAGCTTCCTGAGTAGCCAGGACTTAGAGCAGCCACAACAGCTGTGATCCACTAGCATGGGGGTTGGGGGGGGGTAAGGTGCTAATTTTGTATGTCTTTATTGGTACAAGCTATGAATAGAGAGGGAGACCAGAGGGTTGAAGTGAAGGAGTGAGGAGCTCCCCTTCCTGTCCCCCCCTCATTAAGAGATACTGGAGAATCCGGGCGCTGGTGGCTCACGCCTGTAATCCTAGCTACTCAGGAGGCTGAGATCTGAGGATCGCAGTTCAAAGCCAGCCCGGGCAGGAGAGACTGTGAGACTCCTATCTCCAATAAACCACCAGAAAACCGGAAGTGGCGCTGTAGCTCAAGTGGTAGAGTGCTCGCCTTGATCTGAAGAGCTGAGGG